TCCCTGTGTTATCAACAGTTTTCAGCACAATCCAAAACATAGCCCTATTCTAGCTACTATGGAGAAAATTAACTCTACCCCAGTCAAAACCAGCACAGCAGTATTTGTTATCTACAGGTGCTGACCAGTTGTAATAGGATTTGGTCTCCAAAATCCATATGTAATACTCAGTAAAACCTGAAATTAACACAGAGATGTATATGAAAGAAGGAAAACACTAACACTTGATAAAAATCATTCTACTTTGTTGTATGTGCCTTTTAACAGTGCTCCATACCTTTACTGTGTAATCTCATCACATCTTGAGTACTGCTTAAAGTGTAGAAGTTTACAATGTCTACAGGAGTGCTAATTGCTCAAATAAAAAATGGTGAAGTGCCTAAAAAGAGGCCGTAGAAAAATGTCTTTAAATATCAAACCATCTGCCTAGAACACAAAAACAGTAAAAAAACCCCGATGCCTTTTCCCAGTAAAGACAGATTCTATATCAGGTTGAGCCTGTACATTATGGGGGCCATCAAATCCTTTACTCTAGCAGTTGCCTCAGCAGAGAAAATATATTAAGGATCATTTTAATTAGATTGAGGTCCCATATATGGCTGTCTAACTTTTTGAGGAACAGAGAAAGGGCAGTAATACAGCTGAAGGTCATCTGAGCCTCTCTAATAGACTGTGTTACTCAGACCAATGGTTAAATAGAGGAAAAATTGAGTTCTGGGGTTAACTTGTGTCAGCCCGCAAAGCAAGGAAAGGATTTTCTTGTGTTTCTCGTTAGGATCAGTTCTGTAGGTTTTCTTGCAGTGCAGATCTCAAGCACTACAACAGATTGTAGGTATGTGTCCAGATTGCATTAACAATCCCCTTTTATAACTGCAAGCAAAGTTTATTCTGAAGTTATAAAGGTCACACTAGTAATAGCACGACCAGTTGACATGACATATAACCATGACCTATTTTATAGTTCTCCTCAAAGATTTTTAATATTCATCAGAGAAAGTCTGGGAAGTAGGTACTTTATTTACTCAGTGAAAGCTTATAAAATAGCTATATTAAATTTTTTATATATGTCTATGATTTTAATTTATTGCCCTTTCTTCTTGTTTCTCAAATATATTGTTCTGAATGCTGTTGACAGAGTAACAATGTTTAATTATACCACAAGGCTTTATTTATGGGCAAACCCTTTCAAAGGAGGAAAAAATACAAGTAATTTTTCTCAGGTTTAGCTCTGAAACTAAATTTGATCTGGCTGCATGAAGGAACCTTCTTTATTTAGCATGCTTGGGCAAGTAGCGCCCTGTCTCTTGAGAGATTAACATTGTAAGCAAGTTATGCAGGTGACTCAAATCCAGTTAATCTCACATAAAGAATGTTAATTGCATTGGCAATGGCATTCCCTCTGATCACTTTATAGTTGTATAATTAGCTATTGGACATATTCATAGGGTTGTCTGAGTGATACAAATCCAGGAAACAACATGAGAGAGAACTTGTTCTTTCCTGATTCATCCTATATAAAATGCAGAGGTGATGGAAAAATGGAAAGAACAGTTATTGGTATTTGCATGTCCTTGCCAACTGGGATCTGTACTTACATAGCTATTTATTTTCTAGCAATTTCTTAACTGGTTTGGGAAATACACAGTTTGAGAAGCTGATCTGAAACAAATGTGTGTGTATACTCCTAATACATCAAATCCTTGATGTGGAATCAAGTGATTTACCTAATGACCTTTGGGCCATTTCCTGTCTTATCAGCTGGGTTCTCCTAAAAATGTGATGGGAATTTATTTTCTAATCTCCTGTATAGAAGGATTTACAGCCACAAGTAGCAATTTCATAAACATGCATACATTCGTTTCTTAGCTGTTTACAGGCAGCTTTTATAAACATGGTCTAAAATCATTTTTGTATGCAGACTAAGCCAACATACAGGCACATGCAGAGTTATTTAAATTCAGTGTGGATGAACCAGGGTCTCTAAATCACCTATGAGGATGCTGATCTGGATCTAAATTTCTTGGTGTAGGATCATCTTGTGAAAAACAAATATCAAAATGCAGAGTGTGTTGTGTATGAGCTCAGAGCAGGGTTTGGTCTGAGCTCTTCTTAGGAAAGAAGCTGAGAATAAGATACTGTTGTAAACTTACATAAAGCTTCATTAAGGTATTCCATTCTAGATCCACATAATTACAGCCAGGCCAAGTGCATTGCTAGCATTAAGGTCAGCAACTAATACTTTTGTTACTTTGTCCAGTTTTAATCAGTTTGTCAAACTAAAAGGCCTTATCCAAAAATTCCCATGCTGGATTTGAAAATTGATTTTTTATTTTGTTTTAATTACCAAAATAATTAATTCTTTTCTAAAAATGTTGAAGCTCGTGCAATTTTGAGGTGAAAACGGTGATTGGAGGGAAGTGGAGAAGGATTTGAAGGAGAGGAATGGAGGTAGCTTTTTGTCCTGAGAAATGCGGGTCCTTCATATTGAATAGCTGGGACCTAAAATTTGGTGGGAAATACCTACACTATGCCAGAGATGCAATTTCTTTGCTTGTCTGAACAATTTTCACTAAAATTAGCCAAATATGCACCTGCCTAAACAAAGAATAAATCATCAATTCATACATCAGAGAGGCAAGGTAGAATGCAGGTCTAACGAACTTGGGAAATGAGCTTCATTTTCCTGCAACTGCACTGCACTCCTGCTGCTGTCATTCTCTTGGGATGATGCTTGGTTACTTCAACCAATTTTTCTTGTGTTAATATTGTGGAAAGCAATATTCTGGGCTAGGAGCAGACAAATTGGGAATAAAGAAGCAGTCATCAGCTCAAAACATCTGGCGCAGCCAGCAGCTGGAATGAAGAGGGGCTTGAAGCACTGTCGCAGGCTGGCAAAGACACATAGGTGAGGGTAGGAGAAAACCTAGTTGGAGCTGGGGAAGGGTCAGGAAATTACATACACAGAAGAAAAAACCTGATGAAGAACACTCAGAACAAGGAGCTGTACTGAAGGTTATATGTGACTTGTACACAGACTTGAAACAGGGTATAAAGACAGACTTCAAGGTGAAGAGAGAGAGAGAGACTAGAACTGAATTTACTTAAACACTAATGGAACCTGCAGGTCTTGGGAAGGACTAGGAATAGGATAATAGCAATGGCTTGGGAGAACTGGGCAGAAGAATCTCTGCCCATTAGACATGTTTTTATCTCTAGCATCTGGAAAAGTGCTTTAGATTCTTGAGCATGTCTATTCTTCTGCTGACAAAATATGTTTTCCCTGCCAATAGGTCCCTCTGCTTGTATCATGGAATTCCTATGTGATGCAGTCACTCATTTGCATAATTATTAACAGGTGGTTTTGTGTTCCTTATTTTCTGACTTAATATTCTGATTTGTACAAGTGACGAACATTTTAATAACTGCAACTGAAATCAAAATTAATGCTAAATTTCCCCCCCTCCCAAAAAAACAATGACAGTTTTGTGTTTCAGGTTGAGCATGAAAATTTAGCAGATACTTCTTCCCGTGCTTTCTTAGCTCTCCATTGCACCTCAGAGAGGAGCTATGAAAATAAGAGAATTGTTTATAAAGCATTAAGATGGGTGCAGTGGAGGTCATGAGGAAATTAATAATTCTGCCTTTGAAGTGAAGTTTGAGTAGTCTGACAGGAGGCCACCCACTAAACGGAACAACTATAGCAAAATATTAAACACCTGTTCACTAAATGAATACCAACAATCTAAAGATGTTGAAAAAAATAGTGTGCCATCATATAATTGCAGCCAGTCCCATAAGGCATAGATAGGAAGGGAGTGATTGAAGGGCACACAGACAGCCTTAGTTCTGGCTCTGAGGTGCTGTGTGCTTGATTTTGCAATGTTATTAATATTCTTTTAATGTTATACTATTATTATTACTATATTATCATTATTATTGTACAATAAACATGGATAGCCAACCCACAAACTCAGCTCTGTAGTTATCAAGACAAACTGCCTGAGTCAGTATCTGGTACCATTTACATCTGTGTGAATTTTAAATAAGTTTTTAAGTGACATTATACCCTTCAACTTGCTGAGAATGAAATGTGAAACGTAGTGTGTAACCAGTTTTAAATATCTTTATAATAAATCCCTGTCTTGAAATACTGCTTCATATAAACCCAGTGTTACAATGGTTTGACTAGAAGAAATAATTTATGACAATAAAAGTGTGGTATGGCTAGGGGAGGACAGAACAAAATTCATGCAATCCAAAGCAACTTGGAAACTAACCCCAGTGACATCCTCTCAAATGAAATTACCGGTACTTTGAGTTTGTACCAGTATAACTGAGATCAGATTGTGGCTCTGTGTCTGGATTTTAAGCAGGCCTGCACAACATTATGATGATTAATAATATTTGTAGCTGTGCAGGCTAACATAACGAGGGTAAACAGGACTTATTATTCAGGTCTTAATTTAGTTTTCCATGGTGAAGTTAGTGATGGGGATCAGGGAAGCTCTGACCTCTGTAGACATAGTCCACAGTTGGCTGAGATTCATAACACAGAGTTTAGTTTTCCTATGAATCATAAAGATATTGATTATTGCCAAAGGCAGGATATCTCCATTGGCAGCTCATACATCGCTAGGGCAGACAGGAGATTTTAGATCACACTCTGTGTATCCGGGAGTGCAGAGCCAAAACATTCACAGGGAAAGGCATGGCCTTGGAGACCTCTCTGCTTGCTTGGTGTGTGGGTAGTCATTGCTAGCACAAGCTTCCTTCTGCTGGCACTGAGCTATCACATGAGGGCCAGATGCGACAGCCCCTGGCTCTCCAGCCTGGAGTCTTCCTAGTTCTTTATGCACATCATCAGTTCCACTTGTGTGAATTTGTGGAGCTCAGCCTCCTTTCTTCATTCTGTGAATTGGTAAACAGAAAGATGCTGAAAAGTCGAAAGTGTTCATTTCAACCCTCTGACTCACTAAGGAATTTTAATATCTCTTTTCAAGAACGGCCCACGTTTCTCAGGCGACCGATTAACCAAGTGGTGCTGGAGGAGGAGGCTGTGGATTTCCGGTGCCAGGTGCAGGGGGATCCCACACCCACAGTCCGGTGGAAGAAAGATGATGCAGACTTACCAAGAGGAAGGTGAGACCAACATTCATGTTCCCCACACTTTCAAATTCCAACTCTTGAGTAATGCTGGAATCGCTCCCTACTGCTTATAGTTTGTTATTTGACATTATGGCCAAAATTTATTTCCCATAAAGTGGTCTTTGGCACCACAAAACCTGTTCCAGAGCCAGCTAAGCAGGGAAACCCAATCTGGCTTGAGTTGTCCAGATAATGGATTCCTGTGGAAGGAAGAAAAGTGACGTGTAGGTATTGCAAACAAATGGGCGTTCACTGAATTTGCTGGAGAAAGTAAAGATGTTTTAGGAATGTACTGGTGATAACAGCCTTCATAATAACGTGCTGATACTAAAGGGAGAAAATTTGGCTGCAGAGTTGCAGAGCCATTCCATTGTGCTTAGCAGGATGAATTGGAAGCAGAGTGCTGTGGTAGGCTCTGTTGGCTTCTTGGCTCATATTTCTTCAGTCTCAGAGAGAAACCTTCCTCTTGAGGAATCAAAATAGTAGGCTAGCAGAAGGGGAAAACAAAGTTGAAATCTGGAACAGGCCCTTTGTGTTCAAGAAAGATTCATTTAGTCTGGAACAAATGTGGAGAAAATTCCAAAGAAAGCAGGAGATGAGAGTCTGTCATAAAAGGATGTTAAATTATCTTGGCTTCTTTTCACTGACAGAACAGAGTTTGGTCCTTGCTTTCTGGAACTTTTTCTAGTTTTGATGCTGAATCATTATTAGATTAAAAGATGTTAACACAGAAATAGGTCTGGCAACAGGAATTAGAACCCAGCTCTGCATAACGAAACTGATCCGTCTGGCCCTGTGACACCTGACTCACTTTTGCACCATGCTTTTAATTTCAACAGGAGACATGAATAGTGCCTCTTTTTTTCACCCACCACAATTGATTGTTCTTTCCTACCAGGGAAAGACAAAGGTTGGTTGTTCCTGGGATGTTGCCAAAGGAATTTGAAGAAAGGAGAAAAAAAAATCTAAAGCTTCTGTTCTTCAGTGCTTTAAACACTAGAGTTACATAGACTGGCTGTCAGTTGTTATTTCTGATCCTCCAATCATGATCTTAAAAAAAGAGTAGCTGCAATGGTGTTTGCGGCTAATTTGTGTTGTTTAAAAATTACATGGCTGTTTTGCTAATTGTATCGGTAGATGTATATGCATGTAGTACATAGGATATTTTGAAGATCAGAATTTTGGATGGCAGGATGAGTTTTTTTCTCTTTGTTTGCCATTTGACCATGCATTGTAGCGTAGTCATAGTAAATACATTGTGCTTCTGTGATTTGTTCTTACTGCTGTGCTACTTCTGTTGTTTTAAATCATGTCTACTTCTAAATCTTATAAGCAGAAGTAATAGAAGATGAACAAACACTGCCTTTGATTAGGTTTAACTTTTTATTAGGTTTTTTCCAATGACTATGTTCCTTTGTTTTCTTTTATATCTGACTGTGAAAAACATAGTATTGTGGCCTTAGGGGTAATTTTTACTGTTCACTCTTGATGTATTTGTAAAGAAGAAATGTAACAGGAATCATAGAAAGTTTTCACTGGGCTTTTAACTAGAAGAAGAGAAGGTTCATCAGATACATTCTGGTCATAATCAACTTCAGACTCAGAAACCACTCACAATGTTTTGCAGTGTTTTTGCACTGCTCTTTAACATTTTATTAACTTTGTTTCAGCATCTTCAAGCACACTGTGGGAGTATGTCTTAATTTATCTCTGCTTCCCAGAGCATCAGAGGGGGGGTGTGTAAAGAAGGGGCAAGGTTTCCAAATCCGACACTGGAGACCACCTCAGGGAATAGAGGACTACCACTGCCCCTGCCTGTGTAGCAAGTTACCACCACCTGAGCAGCATGGATTGTGGTCATCTAGTAGAGTCCAACATACACTAAAAAAGCAAACACCTCTGATGATCAGGACTTTATGTTTACTTTTCTCAATTGTATTCATTTGTATAGCAAGGTATATGAGCAGAACCTTCACTGTCCAAAAAGTGGAAATTTCCAAGCCATGCTGTATGATACTTAAATCAAGGAAGATAAACTTGGAACAGCTAAAAGAAAAACTATTATTTTTTTCTGGATTTTTTAATGCAAGCAAAGAAATCTGCTCAGGTGTAGTCTAAATGAATAGATGGATGAGAAAATGATAATAGAGCAACTTTATACATTAAGAAGAAAATTTCTTCTTAGAAAGAGGAAAGTTTTTTCCTCCTTGACAAAGTGGGGAGGGTTTTATTTTCTCTTTCTTGAGGCAAAACCAAAACTAGCTTTATCTTCTGAGCTCCTGTATTATAAAGATCTGCAGTTAAATATGAATCCCTCAAGGACTGTCCTTTTTAATTCTTTCTGTATACAGAAATTCTTCTGAGCATATCTGTGCAGCTATTTGTCTTACAGTTTTCAATATCCATTTTCTTGTTTCTATCCCTAACGACGTTCTTTGCACATCTGTCTGTTTCCATTCTGTTAATAATTTCCTATGGCTTCATCCCTAGATTGTGAGACAATTATAGTAGCTACCTGTTTCAACAGTTAGTGCACATTTTCAAATGTGTCTGTTGTTAGTTCAGCTTTAAGAAGTGTCTAGTTCAGTGCTGGCAAAGTGGGATGAATTGAAATTGTATATGCATCTTGTTTCTGTGATTCTCCTGCTGAATGCCAGAATCAGTGATACTACATCCATAGCCTTCAGAAATCCTTCTCTGTTTTTCTGTCTTCTTTCCTTTTAGGTTTTTTTAGTGACACATGTGAAAGCAAAGAGAAAAGTAATCACAGTAATTTCTGGTGACAAATATAAACAGTATTGCTGCACCGATTGGTGTGTTGAGTAATAATTGGAAAATAATTTCAGGCTTTTACAGTTTTAATTATAAAGGTCCCTGGTGAACTGTAAGCATCTCCAGTTGCAATTGGATTGAATGAGGGGGGAAAAAAGCAGTTTCTAAAGGAATTATTATGTTTGAAAATATGACTACAAAAAAAAGTAATTTGGCCATTTTGTTGAAGTTTCTATGTAATTATCCAGAAATTTATGAATAACCATGCTTTAAAACTGAGAACAGATGGACTTCAATTTATTCTGAAGGTGCAAGGCTTGCTTCCAAATTTTAGCTATTTTGAATAGATGATAGAAACCGACTATGATAGTCTATATTTTGAATTTAAAACCTTAAAAAGGTTCTTATAGTGGAAGTTTTCAAAATGCCTGGGAAAAATAGGTCTCACTACCAGTCAAGGAAGTTACTTGTCCAAGATCTTGTACACCTGACTTGAGGTTTCAAATACTGTGGTATACACCATGGAGCTCTTCTGTGTATGGCTGGGCAGGAATTAAGAAGGTGATAAGAAGGACCAGTGGGAAACAGCTTTGTGACTTAGGCTGTTTTCATAGTCCTTTTACTATAAATTTACTGGACTTTCATTATGAATGAATTGCATTCTTGAGGGTAGAAAATTCTTTTTAGAGACTAAGCCAATCCCAGCAAATTAAAGCTCACCAGTAACAATGTTGGTACTACACCAACAGGCTAAAACAAAGTACACTGCTAAGTCTGGGGTGTGTAAAGCTTTTTTCCCAGAAGCTGTTGATTTCAGATCAGTGACCCAAGACTGAAATTCATTGTGAGTCAAGGGTAGAGGTGCTTGGTGTATATTTTATTTTAATTGCTCTAAAAATTCAGCATCATACCATAGCTTCCACAGTACACAAAGGCTAGGGAAGAGTTAAGTATAACACATGTCAAACTACTGGAAGTGAACAGGGTATTATGCGGTCACCAGTCCTATGCCTTTGGTTGAAATATTAGGTTCACTCTTTCATGTATGGAGTTTCTTTTCATTGCAAGTGACACAAGGAACTGGCACAAAAAATTGTACTAAAGCAATTCAGACAATTGTGGCCATGTGTAATGACCAGGACCTATTGAAAATTAAACAAAACTAGTCTTTAGACATTAAAGATTTTTTCCAGCCACATGTTCAGGTGGTTTTCGCTTTGATATCTGCTTGGCAGAACCAGAGATGACACTTTCCTGCTAAGGAGCTGATGGTCTCCTGCGTGGAGAGGAACTCAGTGTGTCCTGGATCAACTTCTGATTTGTCTGCTTTTATAGTCCTGGTAACAGGAAGAAAGCAATATTATTTGAGAGTATGAGAGTGGCATATCTGTGACTACCAATTGAATCAAAATTTGAATGTGGTTTCTACAGCGTTTCATGTCTTCAAATTTTCTAGCAAAGCTGAAGAGAGCAGCTGCATAGCCTGTAATTATATAGCAAGTAATATGGACTTTTTTATCTTTTTTTTTGGGGGGGGGGGGGAAGTGCAGAGATTTTTAATTACAAGTTAAAATTTATGGCACACTGTAATAACTATTCAAACCTCTTACACAGAAGAAGCTAGCAGTGCCAGCTCTTTGGGAGAGTGAGGTTAGCTCAGCAAATGTATTTTTCAGCTGCCTTAAAAATGGCTGAGTAGCAATCACATGGGCCTGTTTGGTGGGTTTTTTTTGCATTCCAGCTCAGAACAGCTGGTTTAGCTCAGTAAATACATCTTTAATGAAATTACAACCTGCTCTCGTAAGTTGCATTTACAGGCACTGTCTGATTAGAGGAATATTGTACTAGAGATGAAAAGTGGCAACTGCACCAGCAGGAAGAGGTGTTTGTTTTACACACCTCTTATGCAATGTGAGTGTAGGCAGAGAACCATGGCTGTTGCTTCAGAGCGAAAATAGTGTGTAGTTTACACAAAATATATTGCTATGTGTTAAGAGATTGTAGGTTATTAAATGAAACAAAGCAGTGACACACAGCAGTGAAAATCATAAACAGCACAGTAACCTTTCTTATTTACTAAAGATTAGGAATCTCCGTGGAAAATTATTTGGGGAAATGCATTCTTAATGCATAGAGTTAACTGTTGTCAGCTCCAACAAAAGTCTGTGTAGGTGTTATTTTTTATGTCTACTTCTTGCTGGTTTTAAAACTGGCCTCTTTGT